ATATTTCCAATTAAACAGCAAAAGTACCAAAGAAACAGGTTACCGGTTTGCCTTGTGTGTGCCCTGCTTCAGGGGACAAAGAGAGAAGAGTTCATAGTGTGACGTCATGGATACTCACAGCGACCACAGACACAGAGCTTTCGTATAACAAATATATTTATTAACAAGAAAACAAAACAAATATATACACTTAATAATCTACTTACACCCTAGCTCTGATAGACCTACTATTCCCTGATCGCGGGAGCGATCCTAACCCGATTGAAGATGGTTTTGATTGTGGCATTCGCCACTCCTACTTTTGAAGCGCGCACAAAGCCTAGCTTCCGTGACCGGATGTCACGCTGGGACACAAAGTCCGTTCTGGCGCACCAACGGCTGGTTTGCCTCGATCGCAGGAGCGATCTTATCCGATTGAGAATCGGCGTGAATCGTGGCACTCAACCACTCTTCACCTCGGAGCACGCACACAGCATCGCTCCCCCGTGACCGCAGTCACCCAAGGACATAAAGTCCGCAGGCTTCGTCGACTAATGACTCCAGCCTCGCGAGCCTGGCTCGCATATGCACCGTCTTGACGCCAAGTTTTGTGCACACGCACGAGGTTCTCCCGCTGTCTCCAGAACCCACCCACTGGCTCTGTACACTCAGTTATATAGGCGAGGCCCACGTGACCTACTACGTCACGCCACCCCCTCGCTTGTTATAACAGTGAAAAGCTTCTATAAGCCGGAAACTCCCAAAGCCTTGTGTCTCCCGTTTCCGCGTTCTTCCCTTTACGGAAAAACCCTTCTTCCTGTGGCAAGGCTGATCCTCTGCCAGCGTCCCCAAATAGATGCCACGAGGCACGCTGGCTAATACGTTACAATAGATACTGAGAGTAGCGGAACCTGAACTACCGCCGCAATTTAATATCCTTTTACTCAAAAGCAGCGTTCAGAAGTTAAGGAGAAATGATAACAATCGGAGACATTCTGGAGAGGATTAAGTGTATTATCATTAGTATTTGGTAGATTGGTGGGTCCTGATCCCAATTGGTTGTTCCACAATACCGTACAGTTCAATATGATTGATCGAATAGTGATTCCGGTTCCGAATAATGATTCCGGGCGCGTCAACTATAGACGTCATTACTCCCATAAGTGTAGGGTACTTGTTTTCCCTCGGTCGGTCGGCCAGATGACCAGGTATCCCTCACGAAAGAGGCACCGCCCCAGCCGTGACAAGCTCTAAGGTCTCGACCGGTGTAACAGTGTTGTGGACGTAAGTGTGTAAGTGTGTAGTAGTACGGGATGAGGATATGACAGAAAGGAAAGATCGCGCGCGGTCCGTGGCCCGTTTGTTAGGGTACTGTTCTGGCATTCGACTGGTATTGATCTGAGGAACCATGGAAAACTACCGATCAGCGCAACGTTCCGTTACAATTCCCCTTCAAACAGTGACTGAACTCAATCTAGCCATTAAGCTAGTGTTGAAAATCCTGCCACCGTAGTGACTTGAACCTAGGACCTCCCAGTCAGAGCAACTGCAGTGTCATCAATTGATGCCCTTAGCCACCTCGACCTCGCCCGGTGTCAACTGGATATAAATCGGCGAAATTGGCGGCGAGAGGAATGCGCTACTCTCTCTATATCTCGGGACTGAAAGGGAGCGAAGCGCGGCGCGCAGAGACAATGGCGCGCGGAGGCTCGCCCGGGGGGGGGGGGGGGGGGCGCGCGCTCCGCGAGAGCTGCTGCCCATTGTACGGCCTGAAAAAGCGCCCTCTGGCCGCGCCGGGCGTCGGAGTGGAAGGCGAGAGGCCGGCGCGTACTCAATGGAATAGAAATCGTCTTCATTTCGCCCGCGCTTCCGCCTCGCGCGGCCATTCACGCGCGCGGTCGGCGACGAGCGTTTTTCTTTCGTTCTTTTTCGGGAAACATATTTACTACCGGGTTTACATACCGGTAACTCTGCGATAAGACTCCGCTTGCTTTACTTCGTCGTTTAGAGCTAGAGGCGCAATGGAACGGAAATGATACGGGATTTGAAGGAGAAGAGGAGTTCAAGAAATTTGGTCTTGTCTTAATTGTGTGTCGAGTTAGTAACTGTTACTAAGGTTTATTGTGTTACAGCAGATATAGTATCTGCAATATGTATCTGCTTAACTAATTAAACGGAGGTCACACAGACCGTGTGAGTCAGCGTAATTTAATGACCGATGAAAGGAGAGCAAAGCGGTTGCATGAGGGATTCGGCCTCTTAATTGATAAAGTGTTTTAAGAGATCATTTTAGAAGAGGAGGAAAATTAATATTCATTTCTCCTCATGACACACTTTTCAATTGCTTCTACGCGAAGCGACTCCTCTTTTTATGTTCAAGAGCCGCGTTACACTTCCTAACTTTGGAAAGGATTTTGTATAAACTCCTTAACATATACATAAACTACGTTGCAATACTATGAAAAAGGCAAATTGTCCCTCTCAATTGTAACCGATTTTAAGAATCATCGACCCTCCCACCCCATCCCGCGCAGAGTGCTCGCAGGTATTATCATGCACTTGCTCAGTTTGTTTTTTCATTTTCTACTCCGTCTCCGCCAACGAATCCATGCATTTTTACCCCTCCCCATCCTCCCCGTCCTCGAGTCCTCTCCCGGTCCCTCTTCCCGCGGCTGCTTGCTCGTCGCCAGAGCCTCACTCGCTCTCTCCCCCTCCTCCCCTATCTGGCCCCCGCGCCCGCCCCAGCCTCCTCCCCCACCACCGAAGCGGGCAAAAGAAGAGCCCGCGCAGCCATGTATGGCTTCCGGCGAGCGCCGAATTCCTTTGGCCGGGGCCCGGGCCGCCGCCGATGGCCCTGCGCGCACACCGCCGCGCCGCCTTCTGCGCTATTTATATCCGCGCCTTTATTGTGATGGCCCTCGCCGCTATCGGCGCTTTTGTTGATTTTGTCTCCCTGCCGCCTCAACAAAATGACGACCTGGATACCAATTTTCATTTCTTAAGGGTCTTCTTGGCAGCCGGGAATGTTTCCTTTCCATCAATATCTCACAATAATCTGAAGAAATATTGTTTTTACCCACCAGTTCTTGGGCATAATTCTTACGCTTTTCATTTGTTTATCATTTGATTACAACGATAACTTCCTACGAGTTTTTGAAATTTTATGGCGTCGTGTTCAACAACGGTTTATTGAACAATGATGTACAACGTAGGCATGCACGTGGCTATAATGTCATTAACTCCTTTTAAAACAATATCATGAGACATTGTAGAAATATATACTATTGAATTGCAAGGTCTGGTTCACGGGGTTTCGTCAGGGGAAAGAAGAAGACTATAGAATTGTTTGATAACGTTTCGGGAAATATATTTCCACCATCAGGGCAACAAGATCAAAACAAGGCAACAATTATGTATTAATTATTACTTATTCCTGCTCCATCTTCATTCAATGAAGGTAAACACGGAACGAAATAATGCGATATAATTACAATACCTGGCAAACAGAAAAAAATAGGAAGAAACTAGATCTACTGCAGCAAGAATATGAAGCTGGAGATTTCAGAGTTACATATTGTGTGGACAAATGAGGGAATAGGAATAATTAACAATTACTTACGAACAATCTACTATCCGCGCAATGATAAATCATTTATAAAAATAATAAATATCACCTTGTCCGATTTCAAGACCACAAAACGGCTATTGCAGGGTTGCTGCCTGTTACCAGCACACGGGAGCAAACATACACGAATCTTACCTTCAATATTAACGTTTGCGGATGATCGAGTTATCATTGCTGCGGACATGGAACATGCTACCTACATGATACGGAAACTGAAAGAAGAGTACGAGCTGTGAAGCTGTGTGGTCTGGCCAAAACGAAATGCTTACCCAAAGCATCAGTCATGGGGATTTTAGATATTAAAGGAAACGTGAGAAAAAATACACCATTTTTTAAAATACAAAATTTTTTAAAAAATTTTCAACAGAAAGGCCAATTGTGAGACAGATGTGGAAAGTGAATACATCATGGGTGTACGGTTGTCAGCGAACTACAAATTATTTGGTGAATGAAATAAATAATAATCAGTGCAAAAGGGTTTATGAAGAAATTGTAGAAGGAATTTCCCTA